CGTGCCAGGTTACCTCACGAACGTTCAAGGACAAATTCATATTGACATTTTCATGAAGCATATACATTGCTTTTCGTTTGTTTTACGTGATACTTCAAACTTGTTTTCAACACGTTACTATACTAGTACTCTGGTGATATGCTTCTTCCACGAGCATTGCAAATTCGTTCAAGGTTGTAAACTCTTTTCTTTTTTCTTCTTCACTTATTCCCTCCCACCCCTTTTTATCGCTTCAAATGAATCCAGAACTCATTTTTTCTGTTTTTTTTTTTTTTTTTGTTGACCTCAATTGTCTCACGTCAGGTGCGCGCTAAAGTTTTTGATATTTTCCTGACACACTTTTATGTATAGACTTGTTTTTCAAAACAATTGTTTTAAAAAAAAAGTTTGTGCTCTTTTTAGTTTTAATAAACAAATTTTTTCGTGGTGATAAAAAGGAAAATGTTTATTATTCAGAAACGTATAGTTTGTCAATAAAATATTTTTTCATTTTTTTTGGAAAGAGGTGAGAGAGTGATTTATCACTTTTATAATATATGATGAATCGACAGGTGATTATTTATCGCTTTTTAAAATTTTTTTGAAACTTCTGAATGTGATTCACTTTTGGTATTTTTCTTTCTTTTATTCTTTTTTAACGACGCTGGAAAAATTGTTTCAATTCTAGTGAATTTTTTTTATTGGGGCAATTTTTTCTGAAATATTTAATAATTATTGTATTATTAAATAGTTAAGCACTTATTTATTTATTTATTTAATTAACTATTTATATATTTATTTACTTATTTATTTATATTTTTATTCATTTACTTATTTATTTATTTATTTACTTATTTATGTTTTTATTCATTAACTTAATTGTTTATATTTTTATTTATCTATTTATTTATTTATTTATTTAGATTTACATTTTTCGGTTTAGTTCACAGTTGCTTTTTGTTATAATTTATCAATGAGATTTATTTCAATCGATAAAGGAAACTAATTAAGTATAAAATAATAAATTGCAGCAAAAATTGATATTAAATTGTTTAATTGGCGCAAGAAGCACTTAAAAATAATTAGGGTAGTCAATATACCTGGGAAGGATTTTGAAAAATTCTGATTAGAATGTTGTGTTGTTTATTTACAAATAACGATTTGTTGTTGTTTGCAGGAAAAAATAAATATTCACCTATTTATCTAATCAGTAAATAGGTTAAGAGAATTATTGATAAGGGGAGGTTTTTTTTATTTAAAAAAAAAACTTTTTTTAGATTGAGAATAATTTCTATTAGTGCAACACAAGTTATTGATAAACGTAGAAATTTCAAAAAAAATTTAAAAATAGAAATTAGACTTTTTTTGATAAATTTTATTTGGTCAAAAATTTTTGCACCTCAATATTTCAAAAAAACACTTTCTTTTAATAAACAATTATTTAATAATTATTAAATTTATATAATTTAATATTAATTTAATATTAACAATAGGTATTATTAAAATGTTAAATATAAATAAATTAAATTAAAATTATAAATAAATTAATTTAAAAATAATAAATAAAAAAAATTGATTGATACAAATATTATTATAATGTTTAATAATTTTGAATTTTAATTTTTAAGTTTCTTGAATTTTGTTATAAATGTTTTATATAAAAATTTTTCACAATTTAATTGTTTTTTTAGCGAGAAAATGATTAAAATTAAAATTTTTATTTTTGGGGAATTTTTTTAAAAAATTAATTTTTTAATGCCTTTCAAGTTTTTTTGGTGTACATTTTTGTCACGTAACGGTATTTTAATTACTTTTTTAATTAATTATAGTTTAATTTTTAATGAATTTTAAATAACTTTTAAATTTTGTTTTAGTGTTGTAATTTAAATTTAAGGAATTTTTAACGATTTTCGTAACATTTTTGTTTTTTTCGGTTAATTTTTTAAGTTTTTTGTAATTTTTTTTCTGAAGTCAGATTTTATTTATAGTTTTGATAAATTTAAGAGGTTTTTCTATTTTTATTTTTGTTTTTGAAAAATTTTGGAAAATAGTAATTTTTGGCAATTTAATGATTTAATGCAATTAAGTGAATTACGCAATTTGTTATGTATTCGGTATTTAAGTATTTGTATTGTATTATCTATTATGTATTTGTTGTTGAATTTAATTAAATTTAATTATTTTATTTAATTAACAATTCCGCATCTCTTAATTTATGCACTTAATGGATTTTGAGTTGTAATAAATAAACAAATAAATTTTTTAAAATAAAAATTAAATAAAAACATAAATTAATACATTAATAAATAAACAAATAGAGGAATAAGTAAAAACATGAATAAATACATAAATAAAAACATAAATTAATACATTAATAAATAAACAAATAGAAAAATAACTAAATACATAAACAAATATATAAACTAATAAATAAATATACAAATATTTAAACAAATATATAAATTAATAAACAAATAAATAAATGAACAAAAAAATACTTAAATAAATACAGAAATTTATTAATTTACTTTAATTAAATAATTTTTATACTTCAATTAATTGCATTAAATTGTTTGAGATGTAATTAATAAAATTTAGTTAAATTTATCGAGAATTGAAAATAATTTTCATTCTAAATGAATAAATTGATAAATAAATAAATAGACAAATAAATAAATAAATAAAAATAAATAAATTGTTATGAATAAATTCTATCAAGTAAAATGAGAAAATTGCATGAAAATTGTACAAATTCCTCTCTCTCTCTCTCTATTTCTCTCGAAAATAGGTCTGTCCCCCAAGTGGCGCCCGCATATTGTATAAGAATGGAGAAAGGGTCTGGTATGTAGACGATTCTCTAGGCAGGTAAAAAGAAAGGAAAAAAAAAATAAATGAATGGTCACTAGTAATGGAGTAGTTGTGTCCCTTGTGACCACTATTTATATATAGCCTTTAATCGTTCTAAGTGCTTGAGTATAAGGAAAGAGGAAGTATGTACCGGGGCACGTGCCTCTGCATTTTACGCTCAAAACTCCATAGTTCCGGTTATTTTATTTGGGTCTCCTTCATATACATAATACAAAAACCTTCATTTCCGCTTTTCTTTTTTTTTTTTTTTTCGCTAAATACTTACTCTATCGCTTTTTGATCTCCGCAATAATAACTCTCTAGGATTTTTCCAAAGTTAAAACTTGATCATGTCCGTAGATAAAATTTGGCAACTAAAATATGTTACGGAATTTATATATTTCTTCCTCCGTTCTGTCTCGACAATTTAACTAGAATCTCATTAGGAGTGTCAACAATATTTCTGCTTTCTTGAAATTTTATTTACTTTTTCTCAAAAATTTGTTTACGTAAATAAATTTTTTTAAATAATTTAGTTATTGTTATTAATTAATTATTGATTTAAATTTATATTAAGTATGATTATAAATACAATTAGTATAAATAATATTTATTTAATATTATAATTATTATTATCATTATAGTTGTAATTATTTTGATTATTGTTTTTACTAATGGTAATTATTATTATTATTATTTATAGGGGAACATAGTCTAGGTCGGCCACCTTTTTGACTTTTGTTTATAACTTTTTTTTAAAAATAAATTTGGACAATTGAAGTATATGGTTGGAAAGTCCTGTTTAATAGGAACATTTTTTCTGTACAAAGTAAATTGACAGGTTTAAAAATGAAAAAGTTATAAAGATTTAAAAAAAAAAAAATTTGTAGTCCAGGTTGGCCATTACAGTCAAGGTCGGCCATGTTTAAAATTCAAAGGGCATTAATCGTTAAAAAATAAAATAACATGTTTGGAGTTACGGAAAATTGATTCTTTATTGTTTACAGTTTGTAACTTAATGAAATAACAAAATAATAAAAATAAACAATATAAAAAAATAAATATAAATAAAAAAAAATTTTGCACTAAAATATTAATAAAATTAAATGAAACTATTAATAAGATGATCAATTATATTATGAGTTATACAGAATTGCAGTTTTTGCAAATGAAGTAGCTCGTCCTCATCTTTGCGCATTTTAAACACATAGTGGCCGACCTTGACAGTAAGTAACATTACCGAATTGTTGTAACCATAAAGAAATACGTTTCGGGATTCGATTTTTTACTTTGTTTTCTTTTCAACCATGAGTCCCACAAATTTTCTGCATACTTGCCTTGACGATTCAATTTGTTTTTTATCTTTTATTAATGGTTTTTCACATTATGCACAAAACTTTTTTTGAGCTTTTTTTGTACCGACGTCACAGAAAACACAATTTTAGATTTTCCGAAAATGTAATTGAACAAAAAGTTAGGTTTCACTAAGACAAGCTTCGACAAAAATGCGCGTAGGTGGCGCTAGTGAACTTGACAAAAAAACGCGAGTGGCCTACCTAGACAGTAGGCCAACCTTGACTACATTCCCCTATATTATTAGTAAATATTTTTATTATTATTTATTTATTATTTTAGTTAATTTTTTTTATACTCCATCATCTCTCCTTCCCTGTCTTTGTTCTGTATTTATTATTTAATTATTTATTTCATTCTTTTAAATATTTTATATAATTTATTTTGTTATTTAATTAGTTCTATTATAATTAATTTTTTATAGAATTAATTTTGTTGTTTAATTATTATTTATATTAATCGTAATTATTTTTGTTATTACTTTTATTAGTAATAATAATAATTATAATAATAATAATAATAATAATAATAATAATAATAATAATAATAATAATAATAATAATAATAATAATAATAATAATAATAATAATAATAATAATAATAATAATAATAATAATAATAATAATTATTATTATTATTATTATTATTATTATTATTATTATTATTATTATTATTATAAAATTATTATTTATATTAATATTATAATGATAATCATTACTATTATTAGCAATAACAATTATTATTATTTCTTCTGAAATTAACAATTTTTTTGACTTAAATTGTTGTCCGTGAATTTAATTAAAAATAATTTTTGTTTACAGTTCCACAGTATATCGTTCGTTGGGAAGTGTTGGAACCATTGGAAATTCGAGTGGAACCAATAACTATAATCTTCCTTATATAACAAATAGTCCAACGGATCATACAGTAGCTTCTACACCACTATGGAGTGCTTTAGGTATAACATTCGTTCTTTATCTAATTATTCTATGTACATATATTTCACATTGTCATTTTTCAATTCTTTTTTAATTTTCCTTATTTTATTTTTTATTATTTTACTTCGTTTTTTATTTAATAATTTATTTATTATCTAACTACTTTGGTCGCGAGGCGCTTTAATTGAAACTAGCCTTTTTATACAAAATTAGAAATAAAAAATCACAAATAAAAAGAAGAATAGAAAAATAAAGGAAAAATAGAAAAATAAATAGAAAAATGAGTAAAAATTGAAAATAAAAAGAAAAATAGAAAGAAAAATAAAAAGAAAAATGGAATAAATAAAGAAAGTGGAAAATAAAATAAGAAAAAATAAAAAATCAAGTCAATGGAAATTTTTTTTTTAAAGAAGAAGAATTTTTGGGTGTATATTAAAGTTTTGAAATCTCGGAGGGATTTTTGAGAGAAAAGAAAAAAAAAGAAAGGTAAAAAAAAGTGAAATGTGGATGTTAACTAATAGGGCGTAGCTAATGAGGACAGGACATTTTTCAGCACTTAACACTTCACTTCCGGAGATATCGCCGGACTATGGCAGCAAACCAGCGTCAACAGCGAGTCGTCAGACTTTACCTGCATTCGCTCAACCCTTCGGAAGTCGGTCGACTTTTCGAAATTACAGTCCCCCATACCATATACCTACGTCACATCAAACGAGCACTGGGGATGTTGCATCGTGGAGTTATGGGACGTCTGGCGATGCCCTTGTCTCGCAATACAGCACCGTTGGCACGCCATCGCGACGACAAACATCCAATGCAACGACAACCTCCGTTCAGCATTCCCACAGCGCCGCTGCCAGTCTCTCAGCCCGTGAGTATTTTTTCTTCATTTTTTTATTGTTGTTAATTGTAAAATTGTATTTTTTAATCCAGCATCTCTCTTTCTCTCCGGTTTTCTCATTTCAACAAACAACAGAAATAGATTTTTTTAAAATTAGTTTTGTTAATTATTTTTGTTTTAACAGTTTTGATACGCTTTTGTCTCAATTTGTTATCCTTAGAAAAAACTATGATTTAATTTATTTGTTAATTAGCTTTGCAACAATTAATTCTTTACGATAATTAATTTTGTTTAATTAGTTTTGTTAATTATTTTTGTTTTAATTAATATTTCATGTAATGAATTTTGTTGTTTATTTAGTTTCGTTAATTATTTTTGTTGTAATTAATATTTCGTATAATTAATTTTATTGTTTAATTAGTTTCGTTAATTATTTTTGTTATCATTAATATTTCAAATATTTGATAATAACAACAAAAACTTTGTAGTTGTTGTTTTTCTCTCTGTCTTGTAAATATTTTTCACTATTAAATTTGAACAACCAACAAAAATAGATTTTTTGTTTAATAATTAAAGTTTTGTTAATTATTTTTGTTTTAATTAATATTTCATGTAATTAATTTTGCTGTTTAGTTTTGTTATAATTAATATTTCATATAATTAACTTTGTTGTTGTTGTTTCTCTCTGACTTTTAAATATTTTTTTTAATATTAATTTGAATAAACAACAAAAATAGATTTTTTGTTTAATTATGGTTTTTTTAATTACTATTCTTTTAGTTAATATTTCATGTAATTAATTTTGTTGTTTAATTATTTTCGTTAATTATTTTGTTATTATTAATATTTCATATAATTAATTTTGTTGTTTAATCAGTTTTGTTATAATTAATATTTCATAAAAATAATTTTGTTTTGTTTAATTAGTTCTTTTAATTATTTTTGTTTTAATTAATATTTCATGTAATTAATTTTGTTGTTTAATTAGTTTCTTTAATTATTTCGTTAGCATTAATATATATTTCCTATAATTTATTTTGTTTTTTAATTAATTTTTTTGTTAATTATTTTTGGTATAACAGTTTTGATATACATTTTTGTCTCGCTTTGATAACTTTAGAAAAACTGTGATTTAATTTATTAGTTAAACAGTTTTATAAAAATTAATTCGTTATATAATTAATTTTGTTGTCCAATTTATTTTTTTAAAAATATTTTTTAAAAATTTTTTAAAAAATAAGAGACTTTTGTAAAAAATTGATGATGAAAAAAATAAGAGACTTGTAAAAATTGATGATTAAAAATTATGAGAGAGTTGTAAAAATTTGTAATGAAAAAAATAAGAAACTTGTAAAAATTGATGATAAAAAAAATGAGAGACTTGAATCGGAGAGAAGAGATGGTGAATAATAATATTAAATAATTTTGACCTAATTTTTTTTCTCTCTCTCTCTCTTTTCTTTGATGATATTTTCAACAAGTGATGAATGTGAATTAATATGTATATGCGCAGAGAGAGTCAATTTATTTATATTGATTCGGTTTTATTGAAAATTTCATTTTAAACTGAAAAGAGAACAAAGTTTCCTTCATTTGCGACGGGATCAATTATTAATTACGATATGAAACTTGACATATTCTCACGTTCGGTAGTTTATCGGATCACGCGATTCGTGAGATCAATGCTAACATATCCTCCCGAGTAAATTTTTTTTTATATATATATATACACGAAAGTGACATCATTATATTACGAATAATGCTAAAAATGCCAAGTAAAATTCCGTTTTTTAACAAATTTTACGATTTTTTTTTTTGTGGTAATATTATTGAAAATAGATATTAAAATTACGCAGTTTGCTGGATTAAAATAATTCTGAATTATTAATTAAATTTATTAAACTAATAAAATTGAATTATAATTAAATAAAATTTATTGAATTTATTAAATTAATTAAAATAATAAAATTAAATTAATCAAACAATTAGATTAAATTTATTAAATTTAATTCGTAAAACTAATAAAATGGTTTTATTTAATTTAACGGTACAAAGAATTTTTAAAATATTTTCAAAGAATAATTACAATTAATTACTAAACTTGATTAATTTCATAATAAATTATCATTTGTCTCGAGTTTAGAATTGTTTTTCCCTAGTACAGGAAATAATTTTCTTTAGTTAGGAAATATTTAGAAAATATTGTTATAGGAAATATTTTTTACTAAATCAATATTTATTTTACATTTGCACCAGTTTGATTGTTTTCAATTATGTATATACAGCAAGGAAGGGAAGAAAGTTGAAAAAAGAATCACTGACCCCTCTGAAAAGAAAATTTTTTATATTCAGCATCTGTTCATAAAGAGGAAAATAATTCGAAAAAAATAAATTTCCAGTCGCATAATTTTTACGGGAACATTTTTTTTTCTTCATTTTTTTCTTGACTCCCCAAAAAATTGGGCACATTAGTTTAGTGACAGATTTATAGGTATAGAGTTTGTAAATTTGAATGCGGTAGATTTGTAAAAGCATTTAAAAAAAGAGAAAGAGAGAGAGAGACGGTAGTGCTCGATCGTATTTGGTCGTGTGGAAATTGTCAAACAAATCGGTGGGCGTGTTGTCTATATATATGGGTTTTTCTCTGCACTTTGATCGAGAACAGACTTTAGTCATATGTAATATTAGCCATGGTGCTCTGTTGTACTCGCAGGGCGGTCGATTTTTTTAAAAGCAATTTTCAATTTTTCTTGTGAATCACAAAAAAAAATTTAGGCAAATTTTTTGGTGGAGAAATTAAAAAAGAATAATATAATTGAATAATTTTTCTAAATTTAAGTGAGGATGAAAGTTTAAAATGAATTTTTTGGTTTCAAATTAGTTAAAATTTACTGATTTGTGAAAATTTTTTTTGCAATATAAAATAACTGAAATTAACTGATTTTTGAGTAGAAAAAAAATTCTATTGATATAAAAATTATAAAATCTATTGATTTATCGGTGAAAAAAATATTTCCTTCTTTCTTCTTTTCGTTAACTAATAGAAAAAAATTAAAATTTACCAATATACTAGTAGAAAATTTTTTACTGATATAAAAATGTAAAAATTTACTGATTTGACAGTGGAAATAATTTTTACAGATTTAAGAAAGTCAAAATTAACTGATTTATAAGTAGAAAAATTTTTACTGATATAAAAAAGTTATTAATCAAACGTTTACTACTTTGATTTTTTACTTCGTATTTTTAATTTCGTATTTGTTACTTTAAAAAAATAGCGAGGAGAAGAAATAAGGCTCCGTTTTAGAATAAAACCATTAAGGTGGTCGCCTGGCAGACTTGTAACTAATTTGGGTCATTTTTGACAACATCGAAACTTGGATAAACCGAAGTCGTATATTATACTAATGTGTCAGTGTGTCTACTATCCGGAAAATCCGGAAAAAAAAATTCCGGAATTAGTCAGGAATTTTTTTTCTCTCTTTTACTTTTTTTTGTTAAATTTAATTCAAAAATGTTTAAGTTTTTACTATAAATTTTTTTTCTTGTTTTTTTCATCAATTATTGAAATTATTTTCGCGAGAATTTATATTAAACTTGTCAAGATTTTTATTAATATTTTTTAAAATTGTTGTTTACGTCGCGAAGAAGTAAAAAATTAAGGTGGGGAGTAACGAATTTCATATTATAGTGCGGCTAATGACTATCGCGTCATATTCAATGTGATTTATTTGTTTTCATGGGTCACTGATGCGGTCGTCGCTTCTTGTCCATGATATATGAACATATAGATTTCAGCAATAATAAGTACAAAATTCTGATAAATATTCAACGTTTGTTATACTTTTTTTTTTGTTTTTTCACTGTAGAATATAAACGACTTGAGACATGTGATGTTTATTTTCAGTAGAATTATTAATTTCTGAATTCGAGATTTGGAAAATATTTTTGTAATTATAATTTGACTCGCGGTTCGGTTTTTAGATAATTTTATATGAAGTAGAACTGTTTTGAAATTTAATTAGAAGGGGAATTTTAAAGTTAATAATTTAAATTAATAATTAATAATTTAATTAATAACAATTAATTAATAATAATTAATTAAAACTTATAAATTAATAATAATTAATTATTAGTTATAAATTAATAATAATTAAATTATAATTCATTAATAATTTAATTTAAAATTTAAAATTCAAAATTCTGAACGTGGAAATAAAGGAAATTTATTTATTTTTTCCTCAAATTTAAATTTAATTACAATAATATTGCGACATGCATTAAAAATTAATTTTTAAAGTTTTAGAATGTTTTAATTACAATTTTTTTATTTTAAGTGCAACCGGTTAATTTTTGAAAATATATTTATAGCGAAAAATTATTCCTTTCGTTTGATCTTTCAGAAATTTTTGAATCTTTAGAAAATTTAATAAGAAGGAAAGTTTCGAATAATTTAATAAGAAGGAGAATTTCGGAAAATTTAATTAGAAAGTAAATTTTGAATAATTTAATTAGAAGAAAAATTTTGATAAAAGGAAATTCGAAGAGAAAAAAATTAGAAGGGAAATTTGGAGAAAATGAATTGAAATTTCTATTCGTATGCTGTTAGTGGAGAAAAAAAAATTGTGCGATAATCGGATTAACAGAATAACACTGATACAACCCTGACCTAGCTACTAATGTAGGTGTAATCACGTTGCGTCTACGAACGATATCATGGAGAATACATAGGGCTCCTCATTATCTCTATAAAAGTGTTTATGATAATTTTGGTATTTCAGTCACTACCTACGTATACAAATGAATGATAATCTTTCTCACATCATTATCAGATACAATATTGATATGCAGTAATATATTTGACGTACGCAAATGATTCTCTCTTTCTTATGAACAAAAGTCTTTTATTTTTTATATTTTTTCAATCAAAAATATTTTTCTTTGACAAAAATAATTTTTAGCAATGGAATTTTATTTCATTGGCTTTTTTCTATCAAAGCTGTTTTTTTTTGTGACAAAGAAGAATTTTA